GGGCGGGCGCGGGCGCAAGGTCGCGGGGCGCCTGGCGCGGCGCTCTCGTGCGCTCTTATAAAAGCATCGCGCCGGCCTCCTCCAGACACCGTTCCGTCCAAGCTCTCCGCCCAAACATGTCCCGCACCGGCCTGTTGCTCGCCGCCGCGGCCCTGGCCGCCGTCCTGGCCCTCGCCGCCGCCAAGCCCCAGCCGGGCAAGCTCGACTCTGTGGACGTCGATGCGGTCCTCAAGAACAAGCGCCTCTTCAACAACTACGTCAAGTGCATCATGGACCAGGCGCCCTGCTCCGCCGAAGGCAGCGAACTCAAGGGTGAGTTGAAAGGCTCGGGGTGCCGCCTGGGAGAGGGAGGCAGTTTGTGGAACAGAAACTTTCAGAATCCACAGTGCAGTGCATCCCCACCCAGAAATAAAACCAGTGGAATCGTCCAGAAAGTACGTCCGTTTTTCTAAGATTCTGTCGACAAATTACGAGAGCTCGGCGCCTGCGAGACTCGGGGTAGGCCACACCGCAGTACTCGTATGCACGGCAGCCAAAATGTTTGCCTACCTACCAGGCGCTATGGGAGCTTGCAGATGCTAAACAGACAATTGGTAACGGCGAATGACAGACGTACTTTCTGTAAGATCCATAAGAAGGAATTGAAAAGTTGAAAATTCTCGAGCACTAAAGGGAGGGAGGGAGGGAGGGAGGGAGGGAGGGAGGGAGGGAGGGATGGCAGCATCGCTCATTGCAGGTTGCTCGGAGTATTCAGGAAACTTTTCACACAATATCGTTGGGGCATGTTACTACAGTGGTCTACGTTCCAGTCTTGTGAGGCGGAAGTAGTAGTTACGTCGCCTACAGTCGTCGATGTCACAAATAGCCAGTGCATTACAACGCACTGCTGGTGTGCTGTGTCGTGCCCCTTTAGCGGGCACCACTGTGACGGACATGAGGGCGAAGTGAGTGCGTGCGCGCGCATCTCATCAGAGGGCTAAGAACTAAAGCCGCCCGTCCTTTTGCAGAGAGGCTGCCCAAGGACCTGGCCACCAAGTGCGCCTCGTGCAGCGACACGGAGAAATCCCGCGCCAAGAAGGTGATCAACTACCTCAAGAAGGAGCGCAAGGAGGTGTGGGAGGACTTCAAGAAGAAGTACGATCCCGAGAGCAAGTGGGGTGACCTCGAGTGGGCCTCCTCATCCGTAAGTTTCCCTCTTAGTTTCTCAGTATTTTGAAGAAAGAAAAAAAAACTCGCGTAACTTGTTTAACAAACGGCTTTTTTTTCTGGCTACAGTGAACACCTAGTCGACATCAACGTTCCTGCTGTCATTTGTGAATACTCATCGGACTTCCGTCTCCCTTCATCGCATCGAGAGTGACGAGTTAACCCGCCGTTATGACGCCCTTTCGTACTTTTAGCCCTGAGAGTGCTTCGTACCTCCTAGGGATCGTAATTTTATAATTAGCGCTGTGATCATATGGTCTGCTGTGATTTCTATTAAAATTGTTATTTTGATTAAATCAGATTATTCTTATTTTTAATTGGTTCAGTGCAATAGAACCAAAGAACTTTGCACGTGCATCCAAGGGCGTGTTTGTTACGCGTTACTACGGCCTCTGCTTTACCAAAGAGATCATTCACGTAAAATACGCATCACAGGCCGTAGTAACTTAACGTAACGCGTACACTGGAAAAACAAAGGTGCTATCTAAAGCATTATAAAGGCGTTAGTGAAATAGTGCCTCTAGAAAGGTGCCACTGCTCCCCTAAAGTGCTACTTTTGGCACAAATCGTGCCTATACAAAGGCACTAGTGCAGTAGCACCCCTAAAAATTCAGTAGCACCCTACATAGCACCTTTGTTTTTTCAGTGTATAACGAACTCGCACATAATGGAAATTAAAACCACCAATTGGAAGCGTAATTGAAGCTTTTCCAGGTTTACACTCAGAAATAAAAGAAAGAATAAGCATGTTCCTGTCCAATACAAGAACATTTTGAACTTGCATTCACTGAACTGGTTGGCGTCTTTAAACGCCAAAATACTGGAGTTCTCTGAAGAACGCCAAATCTTGTCATTCAAAGACGCCAAAATTTGACGTTCTGAGAGGAAAACGCCAACATTTGTCGTTCACAGACGCCAATATTTGGTGTTCTGAGAAAAAGAACTCCAAACTAGTTTACAGTGTTAAGAACATTTCACTAGAGACAGTGACATGTCCCTCATCTGAGCACAAAATGCACTTGAGATGAAGAACAATATAATATCCACTCATCCAAGGCCAAAACCTTCAGAACGAGAACAATTTCTCTTACTTCAAAAACTTATCCATCGTAGGGTATGGCGACTGTGCTGTAGGGATGAACAACCCTAGAAAATTTCGAAAAAAAAAAACGCCTTAAAATTGTAGTTCTATTTTTCGGTTTTGCGCGTGTTACCTTATAAGTTACGTGTTGCAACGCCCATTCACGGGATTGGCAGTACGTTGCCTTATTATTGTTGTCAAAGGTAATTTCTCAGGTCCGGTGACAGACTGTCTCCTTACATGTCGCATGTCCCATGCAATGAGAAAAGTGTTCCGTCTCTTTTCACAAGTGCAGTGCGCTGTACATAGTACACATACTGCACGAGCTCGTTCAGTTTTGCCGGTGGGTGGAAGGCGTTGGTGTGCCGCGCATATTGCCTACCCTCGACTCGGTGGGCGCGCGGACGATGGGCGTATCTATCTCTCCCTACCCCCCCCCCCTTCTCCTCTCTCTCTCCCTCCCCCTCTTTTTCCCCCCCCCCCCCCCCCCCCCCCCCCCCCCCCCCCCCCCCTTTGCACACGCACTCGGGTTGACAAACAAACGCGTGTGACACACGAGCGCATACCTATCGCACTGGTAGCTCACGCCTCACTTGCATAAGACGAGACGAGAAGCACTCCCAATCGTCTCTTTTTGATTTGCTGAAACCGTTCGTAGAGACCTAACGTACTTGCAGGAGATAAACGTCCGACTCATGATACTATTTTGAAAAAGACTTTAAGGATGTACAAGGGTGGTCCATAAACCCCTTCCTTTAATTTGCTTATACTGTGCCGCATGCAGGCGTGTGGGCGGGTTGCACACTCACACGGGGCCATAAGGCGCCGTGGGGAGCCACGGTAGGCAAGCCCGCCCGCACGCCTGCATAGTATGAGCAAAATAAAGGAAGGGGCCTATGGACCACCCTGTATGTGACTGTGTCATGCATTTTTTGTGTAGTAAACACACATAACACGGAACGCTTTTTAACATTGTAGGCCGCAATTAATTAATATATAACTAATTATTCAAATTTCCATTTCTTACTGGGTCCGGCACTATGTAGTTGAGACTTCAAAGTTATACCAGGTATGTGTGCAATGTGTGCTTATCTTACTTGGTTGTTTATGTGCGTGTCTTTTTTTTTGTAAATAACATAGACAAACGACAAAGTAACGCTTAAGACTAGGTTTATTTAAATAGAACAACAAAACAGTATCACAGTAACACTCCTACACCTTGATGCCGTGCGAGACCGCATCCTGCTTGTACGTGGCCTCGTACCTGCCCTCGGGGTCGTACTTGGCCTTCAGCTCCTTCCAGAGGACGGGCTTCTTCTCGATCAGGAACCTCACCACCTTCTCGGTCTGCATCTTCTGCTTCTCGGTGCACTTGGAGCAGCGGCTGGTGAGAGCATCGGGCAGCGACTCTGCGAAAACGACAAGGAAATAGTGGGAATGAACATCCATACAATTCTGCCACTTTTTTGCTCGCTTTATTGTTGGAAAACGATATCTAGGTCAGGTCAGTACCCTCCTTTGGTCACACTCTCTGAGCGCATCAATTCGGCTCCTTTTAGCTTCCTCTCCATCCCACACACATGACTTAGAATCGCTTGTCGTGTCTTCCCCTCCCTGTCACCTTGGCTCCCCCTCCCCTTCCCTCTGTCCGTATGACGGTCGCTCGCTTCCGTGCAACTCGACGGATTTCCTGGCATAGACTAGACAAGACAAGCCCAGAGGCGGACAGTAGCGGCGGACACTTGCGGAGATCGAGCTGCGGAGAGCGGCAGAGAGTGAAGCACGCGCCACCGTTAAAGATGCGAAATTAGACACCTACTCAGTATAAGGGGTGCAATGTTCGCACAGTTAAAACCTTACGAAGCAAACTGCCAAATCCTACGTACCTACAAAGGATTTGCTACCTACGAAGCTTCCAAATCCTTCGTATCAAGGAAAGATTTGGCACTTTTCTTCGTAAGGTTTTAACAGTGCGCTCGTCGCTGGATACAGAAGCCCGATCCATTCACGCGGCATTCACGCGAAAAAATGATCTGTCTACGACGCAAAAATAACCCGCTTTGTTTGCTCTTGACTCATTACAGGCACGCCTCTAAGTACGCGTTACCTTGTTTCGATTTTTTTTCTCCCTTGCCTCCTGCGTGTTTCCGTATGGTAAATAGGCGAATCTGAAGGACGGCAGAGCTGGTTCAACACACTCCAAGAAGAAGCTCGAAGCGAGCCACGGACAAGTCGATTGGGCTGCCTGCACTCCAGGCGCTGCCTGGCACTAGAACGAGTCGTCTGAACGAGTCCTCTGGTCCCCCCTCTCCCTCTCTTCCATCAGACTCACTCGCCCACATGACGCAATGCTCTTAACGATCAGGATGCAGACCGGTGATCCGGGCGGGACACGGGCAGGCGGTGGTGTAATGTTTGGATCGATCGCAGCCATTGGACTCTGCGTTAGGAAGCGCGGCCAGACTACCCGGACGAAAATACAACTTCACTGCAAAAATCCTTCTAAAATAATTTTTTAGACCGAGGTGGGCGAGCGGCAATGAAAATTAGTCCATGTCGGGTAACCAACCTACAAGCTATGCACGCATCGGTCCTTTGCTCCAACTCACATTCGGACTAAAACTAATAGAATCATTCTTTGTAGGGGCCTTATGAGCTACCAACAAATAAGTTTTGGAAGCGTTGGCGGTTACCCCCGAAACTAGGTCAACACTCTAAATGTCTAAGGAAAATTATTGTAACTAGCACCAAGTTTCTGAGTGCATAACTCAGTTGAGATACAATATTGTAACTACAAATGCACTTTTCGTAACTACCTAGACGCAATATTGTATCTGAACAGTTGCACACAAAATTCCGGTGCTAGTGCTAGTTCCAATAATTGCCCTTAGACATTTAGAGTGAACGTTCTGAGCTTAGAACTTGTAGCTTTTAAAAATAAAGTCGAAGATAATAATTCCCAGTGAGAGCACAAAGTCAGAACCGGGTAAAAATGGGGTCTTTACAGGTCACTTTGACGTCTAAGTCAGCTACCTGGGAGAACTAGATTTTGACTTTTAAGGTCAAAATTACACTACTTTTACGTCATTTTAACGTAATTTTGAGTTTGGTGATCTCCTTGGAAGGAGACCTCGCGAAATTTTTGAAAGACTTTGTCAACCTCTCGTACATTAGGGTGAACATTTGCAACAGGTGACTTCTCACACAAGTACAGGTGTGTACACTGATAAACTAAGTGTGCGATTTCTTGACACTTGTAAGTGTGCAACTAGGAGTTGAATACTTACTTACAGGTGTGTACTTGCAAGTATGCAACTTCTTAGTTGAGCACTTTCTACACAGTGAGCATTCAATCTAAGAAAGAGCTCAACAGAAGAGTTGAACACTTGCAATAATGGCACACTTGTAGGAATTCAACTTGCACACTTGCACACTTACAAGTGTGAAGCAGTTGCACACTTAGTTTATCAGTAGGTGAAAACTCGTTCGTGCAAGGGAAACGTAGCCGTGCAGTAAAACATTTTGCGCCTATTTTCTCCATCCATTAACAGCGGATCGAAAGCTTTGCATGACCAGATTATCAGTTGCGTGCTCCTGTCCAGGATCGATAAAAACATTGGACTAGCCCCCTCCTTATGCTCTGGTCTAAACATTTATGCTGACAAAACGCAACTTTTTTTCCTTTTTATTTACAGCATAAGTGCATTTATGCATGCAGGGAGAGTGACCCGCCGGTGCGGCACGGAGGCTCTGCAGTGGGAATGAGTCAAAGTGATTACATCCTCACCGTGGGTATTTTCACATGTCTACGTGCATCATTCTGTTGAACATTATCAAAAGCAAAACACCCCACGACCCTCACTTTCTCACAGCCATCATTTATATCCCCCCTTCCCCCTTTACCTACACACATTCATGGCTTTATCGAGTGCACACTGCACCTCTGCCAGGACCACGCCGTATCCAGAACAGACACACAAAGTAGTGGATGTCCTTGCATGTTTGCCAGTACCCGGTCGACCACCTCCACTGCATGCCCCCCCCCCCCCTTTGCACACGCACTCGGGTTGACAAACAAACGCGTGTGACACACGAGCGCATACCTATCGCACTGGTAGCTCACGCCTCACTTGCATAAGACGAGACGAGAAGCACTCCCAATCGTCTCTTTTTGATTTGCTGAAACCGTTCGTAGAGACCTAACGTACTTGCAGGAGATAAACTATTTAAAACAAATGAAAGTTGATGGCCACACTGCCTCGAGGTAAAAGACGATGTTATATCCCACTTCTGATTTCTGATTGTACCCTGGTAAATCAAGAGTGAGACCGTTATACTAAATAGCTAATGTGAGCCACAGTGTCTCACATTAGCTAATATAGCCCACCCCAGTACCCCACCCTTAATGTGGAGCACTGGGTTTTCTACATTAGCTAATGGGAGGCACTGGGTGTTCTACATTATCTATTGGGAGGCACGGGGTGTTCTACTTTAGCAAATGTGAGGCACTGAGTGTTCTACATTAGCTAATGTGAGGCATTGGGTGTTTTACATTGGTTAATGTGACGCACACAGTGCTCCACATAAGCTAAAGTATAACATTTTCTCACTTGATTTTTACAGTGCAATGGTAAGAATTAGAACATAATTTGCGATAATCAAAACTGGATTTTCGATAACATTTTTTGTGACTTGAACACGCGTACAAAGAACACACTTAAAAGAAAGCACGTTCTTAAAGTTGGTTCAGGGAGGGTTATAAATGCACTGGAATTGGGGATTGGCACTCCTTGCACTTTTGTCGACTTTGTCCATGAACTCTTATCCCCCGCCCGACCCAACCGTTACTGTGGATCACTCACTTTTGAGTTCGGCACCGTCGGGCGTGCACCGCCCCTTGTCCATCAGGCACTTGAAGTAGTTGTCGAGGAGTCTTTGGTTCTTGAGGATGTCGTCGACGTTGACGTTGTCGAACTTGTTGGTGTACTTGTCGTCGGCGAGCGCGAGCGCCGCCAGGGCGGCGAGGCACAGGCACACGGTGGGGACGCTCTTCATCGTGGTGGTGCTAGTGAACACGCGCGCCTCTGTCGAACCGAATGCGGAAAGGCCCGGTCCTGCCGAGTATATATACGACGGACAGGAGGGCGCCTCCGAAGCGCGCGCAGGGCGGCGGCCGCGGCGGCCCGGCCCGGGGCAGGACACGCACCCGCGGCCCAGTCCGAACGCGGCCCGGACGGACCCCCTGCCCTGGAGGGGGGGCTGCCGGCCAGCGAGCTGGGGGAAGGGGGTTCGTTCGTGTCCGACTATCGCAGATAAGCTGAGGGTAGTGGTGGGGAGCACCCACCCCACCGCGCCATCCATGCGGTCATCATTTTAATATTATATGAAAATTTTACGCGGAATTAGACTGTTACAGTTTCTAGGACAAAATTACAGTGCCTCAACACTCTGGAAATTCCACTGGATCAAAATGTCCTTCCGTGGCTTGTATACACTTCGGAACCGCAGCAGTGGGTCATTGGGTCATTTCGCTCCATGTACCGAGTGTACAGGCTAATACTCCCCAGTATTTTTGGTTTGAATACCTAACTAAGGGGATATGGCGCCTTGCAGGCAGGTCGGGTAGGCAAGCCCGCAACACTGGGGAGTATTGCATTTGCAGACTGTAGGGATGTCGTACTCCGTCATATATGCTGTTCTATTTCGTGCTGTCCAAGGTGGCTAGTTCGGCCCGTCCTCGATGGTACACTCTCATCCTGTTACTGATTTCCTTTTTACCCCTTGGTCAAGTATGCCTGCTGTTCAAAAAATCTTTAAAAGCGACAGACAATTTCTTCCTTTATCGGTAATTTACTCATAAAAATATACACAATAAGAAACGAATTAGTCAGTAATCCCTGCTGCATAAAAACGCGCCGCTTAGAGGAAGGTCTTAAAAATTAAGTGTTTGGCTGTTCATGCAACCGAGAAGCGCAGAGACTTATTGATAGCACAATAGAGGGACCACGTTATTTAAAAAATCTGTACACATGCAGTATACTTGTTAAGCATACTTGTTTCCAAATTGGTGCATGTTAAAAATGACAAAGAGGGTACCAGCGGGTAACATTTGCTCACGGTAAAAATTGTTACTTGTTGTCCAAGGACCATCGGAACAAGATGCAAGGACGCCCCATGCAATTTTTCCTGTCCCGTCCTTGAATCCATCCGATGGATATCAAGGAACAGTTTTCACCTTGTGTGGATTGAGAGGGGGCATTCAGTTTCGTCTCCCAGTCTTCAAGTTAAAAGATTGGAAATTGGTTTCTTACAAGAAGCTCACTCTTAGCAAATAATAAATGATTTTACCATTTTGCTACAAACAGCTGCATAGCCGAACAAATCACCGCAAAAATATACTTTTAAAACGGTTTCTTTTTATCCCCTCCCCATCTCTGTCTCCCTCGCCCTTGCCCTACCTGTGCTTGGTACGCGCGTGTCCTTGTCAGGTGGGACGCAGTGAAGAGACTACGAGAGAAGACAGAGAGAGAGAGAGAGAGAGAGAGAGAGAGAGAGAGAGAGAGAGAACAGAAAAGAGGGGGGGGGGGTCAAAGCCGTGGCTGCTGGCCCGGCCGGTTCAGTGTAAACAAACGTTACGCATTGAGGCGTGTGACAAAATCTCTTATTGCAAAGTCGCTTATCGTTCCGCGAACCTGTCGAAATTATGGGTGTATTTGCTCATGCAGTTGCTAACGCCTTTGCGCTTGAACAGCAGGCCGTGCAGGCCGGGTTGGTTCTCCCCTGTCCTTTCCCCTAAGCATTCACGTCTATTTTTGTCGAGTACTTAAAGTTCGAGAGGTCGATGGACGCTTTACGACCGACGTTCCCGTATGGAAAGATTCTCGCCACCACCATTCGTACAGCTCTTTTCTTATTTTCACCCTTTAAAAATTTTATTTGTATTTTTTGTCTCAGCGTCCAACAGGGGAACAAGCTTTGCTCGTGCGGCTGGAGAATTCCACTCTGGTCGTCGCCGTTAGGGAGTCCCTAGTACTTTTCCCTTCATGACACGATATTTCTAAGGCACTCCGTAATTACCGTTCTCGATCAATTTTCGCCGATCCGGTTCATATGGAACTTCCCCCTCTCCCCAACTTGCTCCCACATCCTTAATGCTTTAAAAATAAATAAAAGCAAGATCTTTAAGACGCAAAATGTACCGTTAAACATTTAGGTGTTCAACTTCACCGTAACTTTTTAGTATTCAAATCTCCAGTTAAAACCCTAAAGTGCGCGTGGCGTTAAGTTCTTCCATGTGTACGCCAGTTGAACCAATATGAACACCTTTTTATCAGAGTACGAACGTCAACGTTTCTGAAAGGTTCAGTCGAGTAACGTGATCATGAAAACAAAGCAGGTGATATCAGGTGGCTGACTCGCGCTGCGCACTTTCGTAGTTATACTGTACTACATGCACGCGTGCGGGCGGGTTGCCCACTCGCACGGGGCTCCAAGGAGCCGTGGGCAGCGAGCATAGGCAACCCCCCCCCCCCCCCCCCCCCCCCCCCCCCCCGCACTCGTTCATGTGGTACAGTATAACTACGAAAGTGCGCGGCGTGAATCAGCCACCCGGTATAAATTTGAGACCAGCAGACCATACTGTCCATCAATAGAAATATTGAATTCAGTAATGATTTCCTCTGCCTGCTCTCAATCACTTCTTCTCGCTGTCTGATTGTACAATTAAGCTAGCTGTACATTTTACTATTCTTCGTTTATTTAATTATTTTCTCAATTTTCCCCAAATGTATCATTTGCATTAAAAAAATCGAATTTACAGTTAGAAAGTGGGCAGAATCTGGAAACAGAAGAGATTGCCCCGTGCAGTCAGAGGCGTCAAAGAATCGTGTGAAACGGGTCGCCAACTCTCTGACCAGGGAAGGGGTGACGGAGGAGAGAGAGGAGGGGGGCGTGGGTCTTCCCCGGCGCCTCCTCCTGACCAGCGTGTGATGCGCAGGAGGTCAAGTTCACGGTGTGCCTCCTGGCGACAGATAGGGGACAACTCACAGATGCTTTGCTTACAGAAAAATCGTTTCATAATCTGAGAAATAATTCGCGTCATAGGGAGTATGTTTCAATTTCGGTCCTTCTTAAAAATCCTCGCGCTTTGCTTTCTGTTTTGCTCGCTTGCTCTCTCTTTCTATAGCCATTACGAAAATAAAGGTCTGTGACAATACCAGTTTTGCTTCCGAAGTCGTGTTTTCGGAAGTTGAAACACAAAAAAAGAATAAAAAGATAGAAATCGGTAAAAATATATCCGTCTAGGCAACAGGTTTGTCGTGTGGGTGCCGGTTGGTGTTTCCTGGTGAGGTGCCACCTGCCTGCCTATGGACCCTGAAAACAAGCCGCCCGAACGACCCTGGCACCGAGACGACAGGACAGCGGCCCCGCGGGCCCGCGGGGGGCTCGCCGCTGGGCTGGGTCAGTCGGGCAGGGACCTCAGGGTGGGGCGGGGCGGGGCGGGACGGGAGGTCCGGACCAAACATCTCAGACAAACCGGGCGGGCGGGCGCTCCCGAAGTGCACGGACGGGGAAATTTCTTTTTGCGAAGAAATATGTTTCGAGTATGTATAAAGTTAGAGACAAAAATTGTTACTCCACACGATAAAATTCTAATAATTCATCAGGAATGAATTAAAGTTAAAGTAAATTCTATATGTTTTGAACCGCGAATCCTGATACCCTGAGCCTGAGATGAAATAATACGGGGATGCTTTTTGACCAGTTGCATCTTTCGAGAGTTACGATTTGATTGGAGAGGGGCCAGAAGTTAAAGTAAAATAACTGGCCCAAAAACCACTCACAGTAAACAGTTGTTCACAGTTTAATTTTTTTTTTCTTTTGAAGTTTTTTTGGGGAAATTTTTAATGAGTAATATAGTAAAGTTACGATTTTTAAACTGTAAATTTACAAATAAACTCTTTTGACATAGCGTATGTGCTCTTCAAAAGTTATATGTCGTAAACTGACGATAAGGAACGTTGTAAACTCGGGAATTTACAGCGACCCAGGCCTCCTTGTGAGTCGTGCCCGCTGCACCCGGGTACCCGGGCGGTACCCGGGTACCGACCGGGTAGGCGTGGGTCGCGCGCACGCAGCCACTGTTATGTAACCGCCCTCGAAACTACATCACACCACCCAGCCTCCCGCGCCCCGCGCCCGACGCCGCGCGCCCAGCTCCGGCCACTGGCCCGCCCAGGCCTAACTGGACCGGCCGGGCTCGACTGGGCAGCGACGTCGTCGTCGGTTTGCCCGGTTTATCGTAAACCGCAGGGCAGGACACTGGCAGCCCTCCACCTCCCTCCGCCCTAACACACACACACACTCACACACGCGAGTTACACAACGAGTATACACTGCGCAGCAACGACCCGAGTCGCCTGTCTCATAATAACACACAACAATCATGGTTACAGTCACCTCACCACCAGCGGCGGAGCGGCGCCAGCTGCAGCGGCGAACACACTATGTTTTTCCACGGCAGGACCGGTTGGCAGGCAGGGCACCGGCTAGAAGCCCGAGAGGAAGGAGGCCGAGGAGGACCCGAGGAACCAGGACGCGCGCGGCCGACGCTGCGGGCAAGTCCCTCGCGTTCACTTTCGGACCCGGTATACTCGCGCGCGGCGCTACAAAGTAGCGAAACTATGATACACCCATGGCTTTGTTTTGGACGAAGATTGACTTGTTTGTTTTTCGTCGCGCTGGCTCTCCCAGTGCCTTGGCTCATCCCCAAGGTGACCTACATTTCATTTTTCTGCTCGACCCGAAGGTCGACACTTTGATCCGAGAGCCACCTCAATTTGCCCTCAGTAAACTCCAAACCCACCCACAAATTTGCCCCCTCACTATAGCGTTCCGGTAAAGCTGAAATGCAGAAGAATGCATGGAACAAGAAAACGGAAGTCACCATGCTACAGCATATGAGGAAGTTGCCCGATAAGAGGAACAAGAAGCAGGTAGCACTGAGGAGGTGGCGTGGCGTAGTGCCGTCCCTAAACAAGGCAGAAGATGAGCGACAGTCTAGCAGAGGTTAAGATGCGTGTCGTTAGATTTCAAACAGTTCAGAACGAGCCTATGCATCTCGCACCTTGGTACCACCTATACCAAAGTTTACCACAGTTGAGTCATTATCATTGAGTTAAAATTGTACCAATGTAATATGTCCGTACACTAACCTAAACAACGACACCGGGCCGGTTAAGAAGATTGTATAAACTTACTTTTCCAAAGCCAAACTTTGCAGAAGCACTTTTTGACACTATGTTGCTACGCCGGTCTAGTATGGACCCAATTTTTCTTTACAAATTATACAAAACTTGATTTATGATCACACATCCACCCGCGATAAAAAACATTATGGTCGCCGGCGTCACCGGCGTTTTGCTTTGCTGAGGGACGGCGCTACGCCACGCCACCTCCTTGGTGCTACCTTCTTTTTGTTCCTCTTATTGGGCAACTTCCTCATCGATTTCCGTTTTCTTCTTCCTCGCATTCTTCTGCATTTCAGCTTGACTGGAATGCTCTATTTGAGGAGCGTTCCTTCTCGGTCTCACCATCACTCTTCAAAGTATTACAGTGTGTTGTGTACATATTCGAATGAATGTCTTAGCTCAGCGCCCGCTGCTCAGGCAACCCAACGCACACCCGGCCTCCTCCAGGACTCTCTCGCGCTCCGGCTCAGACCGCCCGTCGCGCCGGCAGCCCCTCCTACTCCCCGCTGCGATGGGTTGCCTATGTGGCGAACACCACCGGGCCCTTGCCGGTCTGATGCGGGGTTATGGTGAAACTGTTCAAATGGCTCCTTTTGAAGGACTGTGTCAAATGTCCTCAGAAATATGATGCCTGCGTGAACTAACAAGGAGACTTAGTAAGACTTGGCAAAAACCACGGGTTGGAGCATCCCAAACCGTGAGGTGGTGTTAAGGCCTATTATATGGAGGCAGCGGGGCAATGACTCATTTGCAACACGTTGGAGTTTTCTGAATGAATGGACAGAGAACAAGGACAACGCCGAAGCGCTTTCCTTCCGAACCGCTGATCTGTGCTCGCCCCGAATGAAGCCGAAAATGACCGAGCGGGCGAGAGCGAGTTGCGAGGAGGAGCGCGGGAAGTACTCGGCGGGTAAGGAGATGGGGAGGGGGAGGGGGTGGGGGAGAGTGCGCACCCCGGGAGGCTCGTCCTGCGTCCTGCCCGCTGGCGCGCTCTCGCGGGCGCCGGGGGAACCACCCCGCACGAGGCCGGCC